TCGGATCATCTCGGTTTTTGACATGGTTAAATGTCAAAATGTGATCTGTTTGGGCAGTCCTTCATTTCGATGGCATGTCCATTTAGTAAGCATTGCATCCAATTCAATCCCTTGTTTGTTTTGGTTGGCAGGTTTGATTCAGCTAACCATTGAGATGTTCCGTGTGTAGAGCTCTTTGTTTTCTGACGTGTTTACCAAAGTGAAAATTTCACAGATGTAAAATTTTGTTGTGTCGTCGATGATTACGAAAGAAGCGAAACGCAAGAAGATGTGAGCGATGATGTTAATGCATTTGTAAATAGATTATTCATCTCCATTGAAGGAGTGAGTGTAAGTAAATACATTTATATAGAGAGAGCATCACTGAACAATCGTGCTTATTTCTGCTACTGTTGATTATTGATAATTATTGTTTGATCATTATTGATTCGTTTTGGTTATAGTTTTTTTTTTTTTTTTTAATTTATTTATATATAATTCAAGATTAAATTCATGTTCGTGCAAGAAATTTGGAAGGGTGCCCGCCGCTTATTGGTGGAGTGAGAGTCAAATGATTGGACCAATCATCTTGCCAATATTTTCTTAGCTCGACCGCTTGTCACTCATATCTTATGTCTAAAAATAATATACTAAGAGCATCTTCCACTCATCTCTATATCCTATATTTTTCAACTAATTCAGATGTTTTTAATCTCCCAACTTAAATTACTAAATCAGCATTACACCTAAAATTATGATTATATAGTTTTAGTTGTGGTCAAACCACAAATCACTATATTACCAAATCTTATATTTTCACCAATTTTTTGGTGAAGAAATTTACAACTCCCACCCTACCACTAGTTTACCATTTTTTCACTAAATCCTATTTTTTCTATCAAATATAGAAATTAAAATAGGATTGGTGTAATTAACACTATTTTATAATTAGTATATAAAATTATTATATTAACTAATTTTATGTAATTACCAATTTATAAACATAGTTATAGAAAAATATATTAGTGTTAATTAATGAATTAGTGTTTAAAAGATAAATACATTATTATTATTATTATTATTATTATTATTATTATTATTATTATTATTATTATTATTATTATTATTATTATTATTATTATTATTATTATTATTATTATTATTATTATTATTAGCATGGGCCGGTGAAACTTGAGTATTTGTCTTTCGACTAAATATAACACGCAAATATGTTGTGGACTTTGATTGATTTTTTTACCAAATTTTCGGTTTGAACACTTTTTATTTCTTAATAGAGCTATGCTTTATTAATAAATATTATATTAAGTATTAACTAGTAGCATTCATTTTTTCAATTGTTACAAGGTAATCACATGTAGTTGTTTAATAGACTCGTAAGCGTAGTTGACCCTTACATCTACGGTCAACATTTTGATATCATAATTTGCTGCAATTATATAATAAATTGATTTGATAGTAATGTCAAATTTTAAAGGTATAGTTGAATTTGTTTATCACACTACTAATAAAAAATTCTTATTGATGAATTACAATCTACGGTCAACAGTTTGATATCATAATTAATTTGGTGCAATTGTATCATAAATTTGATTTGATAGTAATGTTTACGAACAAGGTAAATTACAAACACCCCTCTTGTTTGGATAATTACAACCATCCCCTCAATTCATCAAATTTAGTGGAATCTTCGATATTATATGGAATATTATCACTTTTGTACCCGTTTTATCCCATTCAAACTCTACATTATGAAGCAAGATGATCATAATATGTGATTTTTAGCTTGTATATATCAGTTTGTGGTGCATCGAAAACTGTATTTTTTACACAAAAAGAGTACAAACTAGAGCACATTTCACGGAATCTAGATAACTATGTTGAATTTGGCACCATAAATGTGGAGGTCTAAGAAAAAATCATAGTTGAGGGGGTAGATGTAATTATCCAAACAACAGGGGTTTTTTTTGTAATTTGACCATACATCAGGGGTGTTTGTAATTTACCCTTACGAACAATTCAATTTATGCTATATTCTAGGTAGCTTACAGATATATTATTCAATCCTACTATGGTGGTGTTTGCAAATGATTATTTAAAAGCAGAAGTTAGTGATTGTGATTTAAGTTAGTTTTAAGTGCTTATTTCTAAAAGTTGTGGGTGTTTGCAAATATTTCGGAAAATGAACTAAAATTGAAAAAGCAGGGTTAGGGGTGCTTTTAAAAAAATAGATTAAAGCAGATTATTTTAAGAGAAGCAAAAACAAAAGTTGATTTTGCAAACACCTAAAAACAGATTATAAGCAAAAAAAACTGCATAATCACTTTCAAAAAACTTTTGCAAACACCAACTATGTCAACATCTCCAACGACTTATTATGTCAGCATGGTGCCCCGTCAGCAGTGGCCGTACAAAGGTGCTGTGGACCCACAAGATTTATTTATTTTTATTGCTATGCTATTGTTAAACTTTCTGAATATTAGTTTTAGCCCCTCAAAGTTTGTATAAATATTTTTATTAATTCTTTATTTTTATATTATATAAATTACAGATATAAATATTATTCAATATAACAATGTAATATACAATGGTTACACCTTTTACTTTTTTAAGTAAAATTTATGAATATTTACTTCAATTTTTTCAACCAAAATATCAAGTGTAATACATTATTAGAATTATTTGGATTTAGTTATGGATTTTTTTTTTTAATTTTAAAAATGCAACGGCTATAAACCGGACCCGACTCGGACCCGGTCCTAAATTCAAATTTTTTTTCAACAGCTAGAAACTCCGGGTTCACCCAGACCCGACCCGAACCCGGTCTGACTGAATTCAATTTTTTTTCAAACGGTCAAGATTCAAAAAAAATTAAAAATCAAAAAATCGGTTTTGGTTCCGAACCTGACTCGGACCCCAAAAGGACCCGAGCGGACCAGACCCGGACCCCGACCCGCCTCCACACGGGTCGGTTTCGGGTCTCCGAAAAGTAGGACCCGGTTAGGGATGGCCATGGGGCGGGTTTGGTGCGGGTTTTGCATTCCCCACACCCGCCTCGTTAACAAACCCGTTCAACCCGCACCCGCCCCGCCCTGCAACGGGTACAAATTTTCTCAACCCGTACCCGCTCCATAGAAAACCCGCGGGTACCTGCCCCGCCAAAAAACCCGTAAAGGTGAAAAAAAAAGTAAAAAAATAAATAAATAAATAATAAAAATTTTAAATAACCGTAATAAAAACAATAATTCTAAATCAAAATATAAAATGTATTATATATATATATATATATATATATATATATATATATATATATATATATATATATATATATATATATATACGCCGGGCGCGTACGGGGCGGGTCTGCGAGGCGAGTATATACAAACCTGCACCCGCCTTCGAACCCATTTTCGGGTGAAAAATTAGAACCCGTATCCGCCCCATTTATTTGCGGGGTGGGTATTACCCGGAAATTTCGGGGCGGGTCGGGACGGGTACCCGCGGTTCGGGTAAAAATTGCTATCCCTAGACCCGGACCCGACCCGGGCCGTGCCGTGTGTAATATGTGGGGTCAGAGAGAAAGATGTGTGTGTGTGTGTGTGAGAGAGAGAGAGAGAGAGAGAGAGAGAGAGAGAGAGAGAGAGAGAGAGAGAGAGAGAGGATAGATGGAGTAATATGTGGATTTATTCTCTTATTTAAATAAATAAATATTTCATATAAATATTAAGTGAGGATACTTATGTTCATATACATATATTTTATTTAATTTTATTGGTTAGTGACGTTACCTATATTCCTCTCATAGAATAAATTTTCATATATATAAAATAATGGGTGTCTAGCACCCCTTTTTTAAATCTTAATAACTGATTAATTGTCTAATTATATTCTGAATCAACATTTTATGTTAGTTTAATATTGTTTAGGATAAATTACGGTCACCTCTGAAGTATGGTCAAATTACGAAAAAATTCCTTATGTTTGGGTAATTACAACCACCTCTCAAGTCTCAATAATGAATCTTCTTACAAGTCCACCGTTACATTGTCAAATTTAGTGGAATATTCTAAATTATGTGGAATATGTTTTAATTTGTAACCGTTTTATCTAATTCGAGCTCTACATTCTCTAACTAGATGATCATAAGATGTGTCTCTTGACTTGTAAATATCAGATTGTGGTGCATAAAAAACTGCATTTTTGCACAAATCGAGTACAACCTAGAGAATATTTTGTGGAATCTAGAAGATTATGTTGTATTCAATACCACAATGGTGAACATGTAAGAAGATTATGTTGTATTCGATACCACAATGGTGAACATGTAAGAAGATTCATAGTTGATGAGTGGTTGTAATTACACAAATATAAGAGGTTTTTTTTTTCCGTAATTTGACCATATATCACGGGTGGCCGTAATTTACCATATTGTTTATATAAAGAAGCTTTTGTTTGTCTTAAACTGCAATTTATGGTTCATTTTGCTAATTCCAAAAATTTAAGTGTGCAAAACGCCAGTCCATGCTATTTCTGAGGCGCAAAATGCAATTTATCTTAAAAGGTAATGTCCCAACTCCCAACTCCAAAAGTGAGAGGAATATTTAAAAAAATTCAAATTGATCATTTTATAATTTTAATATTAAAAAAATTCAAATTGTATCTATCAATAAAACCCACACATGTAAGTAGTGTAATCATATCGGATGTTGCTAAAACCTCGTCTATTTATTTAAACTCCCACCGCCGCCGTAGAAAGCCAAGGATCTAAAAAAACACTATGCCTACCGCCGTCGTGAACAACACGGCCGCGAAAATAGCGGTCGTTTCACGCTTCGTCGCTGTTTCCACCGGAAGGAGATATGACGGCACGAATAAGTTCGAGATTCCGGCGAATGGTCGGAAGAACATTCCGTCCAGCGTCTTCACCAAGGAGACGATTGGGGAGCTGGCGCCTCTTGAGGTACATATCGAGATCGGCGGAATAACGCGCAGAGTACTGAAACACGAAGATTTCGAGAACAACAAGGCCATTATCTTCGACGGCGGTTGTGACGGCGGTCTGGGGATGAGGTTTGTCCGGCAGGAGGTGGAAAGAGGATTTCTCTGCTTCTGGTATATATCTCTATTCTATCTCATCTCACAACTACAATTTTGATTGATTATTCAGTTCATTGTTCATCCGATTGATTATTCAGTTGTTGATTTTGGAATTACTTCTCTGTTTTATTTCAATTTATTTATTGATCTTAATTTATCTAAAATTGTTTCCCTGATAGTGGAATTGTACCATTTGGGAGATTGGGAAATGATGTTGCAGCTCCTCAGGATGAACAGGTATATATTTTTCCAGATTTACTTGTTTATTTTGTCAATTTTTTAAGACTTAATATTATTATTATTATTATTATTGTTGGGGTAAATTACGAAAAAAATTATATTGTTTGGGTAATTACAACCACCCATCAACTATGAATCTTTAACGTAGATTCACGTGCATCCTTGTTGTGTCAAATTTAGTGTAGATTGTGTGGAATATTTTCCAGTTTGTACCCGTTTTATCACATTCGAGCTCCACATTTTGAAACAAGATGGTCATACTCTTGGCTTGTAAATATTGGATTGTGGTGCATCAGAAACTATAGTTTTGCACAAAACTAGAAAACATTCCACGAAATCTAGAAGATTATGTTGAAGATTTATGGTTGAGTGGTGGTTGTAATTACCCAAACAGGAGGTGTTTTTTCGTAATTTGACATTACCTAATGGGGATTGGCCGTAATTTACCCTTATCGGCAGTAGATATACTTGTTTAAATTTAGTTGTTGTTAATCGATATTTATCTTCTTTAAGGCTTGTTTTATTTCATTGGAACCTTTTTACGAGTTACTATTCTTTGAGAAAATGCCCAACACTATGCCAAAATCTTGCCTATTCCTTTCTTTGTGTTGTTCTTGCTTTCAAACTCCACATGTTGTGGAGTTCACTTTTGTGCATTACAACAGTTTGCCTAAATAGCACACACACACACACACACGTTACAACACTAGCCTTCTGCGTCCAATGTCTCGGACCTTGTTGAATGTTAGTAGTTGCATTGGTTCTGATTGCCGATTTGTTTGGTTCATAGAATATTTATGTGGAAAGAACACTCTCTCCAATTTTGCTCGCTTTTGGTGATGAGTTATATCCAAATCAATGTTTGTAGACGACATAACTTGAGCACTCGAGTCTTTTTTCTTTCCGCATAAATATCCTAAGAACCAATGTGTATCAAAAATATTTGGGGTTTAGATTTGTGGCATGTGGCTATAAACGGGCCCGGAATTGGGTAGAATCGAGTCCAACCTCAACCCCAATTATTACACAATCCTATGAAAGATATTACACAATACTAGGATTGTATAATCATAAATCTCGTACATAATGGATAACGTAAGTGTATCAAATTCAATCAATATTATCCATCCTATCAACAGTCCCGTACGAGGCCTCCCGTCTCTATGAAGTAGAATCTTCTTTTCCTTTTCCTTTTGATTTTATTATTTATTTATGCTATTTTAAAAAACAGAGCTGCACGAACATTTTCAGAGAAAGAGCATAACTGCATGGATCGAAGTGTCCGATAAATCTTGTACTCAGTGAGTAGTGACATGGGAACAATCTTGATGTCCAATATACCTACCCGTAACTCATCCCGTTGAATCTTGAAAGGCCAAAGTGGTAATTCCTCAAAGCCCTCAGCTTTCAAGTATTATACTGTTCAACTTCTCCTTCCATCGAAATCTATGATTAATTGCATGTTATCCCTATCTGCGCCTATTAATATATTTATCATTTTATCTCTTTATTCCGTAGCACTTTACCCGTGCACTCTTATGAAATACCCGAATTGCCCTTTTGTCCGTTTTCAGTCGATTTACATTTAAAATATTTTTTTTGTAACAAATAGTCTTGTATTTGAGATCCGTATGAGTAAAAGCGTAACCTAATAAAGAAAAATGTCCCTCTGCATATTACTTTTTTAGTTACTGTACTAAGCCGTGGTAGCGACTTTAGAATGTCACGGTGATGTTGGGTTCTCGGTTGGGGTTAAAGAGAATGGTTTTGCAAGAACTTCAGATCTTGTCCTAAAGTTATCCATATCTTTATCATTACATTCTAGTTTGCCACATTTCGGATTCACATAAATATCTTTTGCTGGAATGTGTTTCGAACGAACTCCGGATGAGACGGATTTGAAATCCACCCCCCCAATGGCTGAAAAAAATTAGCTTAAACCGAGAGCTAAAGACTTGAAATCCAATATCGTATGAATCAGTCGAAACAAGTTTTATGAATCTGTTATTGTGAATAAAAAAAAAAACTTCCTTAAATCTTCCGATCGAAATGCAACCTTTAGTTTTTCTGAGAATTCATGAGCCAATAGGGAAATAACAAACAATTCATTTCCTTGTTCTATTCATCGGGAAATCTTGCTTCTTTCGGTTAATTCATCGACTCATAGTTATGTTTGTTTTGACAGGTTTGATTTCAGCTTGCCATTGGGATGTGCAGTGAGTAAAAAGTTCCGTGCAGTATGCAAAGTTTTCCCTCCCTCCCTCTCTTTCTCTCTCTCTTATATATAGATATGTATATGTATGTCTAGTGTGTAAAAAATGTATTGTAAAATGACTGCAATTTATTGATATATTATGCAGCAGATGGTTGGTGAATTAGTTTATCAAGAGACTTGTGATGTTTATTATTGAATTATTAGTTTATTACAAAAGCATCCCATTTTACAAATTAATTGCATATTGGGCTGAGGGTATTGGCCCAATAGGCAACAACAGCCCAAACCCAGAGAAGAAATAAAAACACTAGGCAGCCAACCATATATATATATATATATATGTATATCTTCCAATAAAATATGATGTTAAAACTTAAATGTGATTTTCCAATAACATCTCTAAACAATAATACTCGTATACTAATTTATAGCATTTCATGGATAACATTATATATATATTTTCTTACTCAATAGCCAACTACCTAAAAAATATTAGATAGCATCATTAAATTGTGAACTTCAGGTTTTATATATCAAAATGGAGTTAATTTGAATTTTGTCAACCAAATCATTGGAATCAAATTTCACAACAAATATGCTGGTCGATTTATAAGATGCTACACCTGACATATATACATGGATGTGTGCATTATTACGTGTCGATCAATTGTTCAAGATCGACGGATGTATTTCATCGGACGTATAGAAGGAAAAAAAAAACACTCGCACATACATGAAGTTGGGCGGGGGCAATTGTGTCATTAACCATCATTTACCAAAGAAAGTGGATTTGAGATCACTCTTTTCATTTATTTCATATGCAGAAATAAGAAAAGATAAAACAAAAACAAAATAAAACAAAGAAAAGTTGATTGTGACAATGTATAAATTATTTGGTTAAACTTTTGAAGGTCGGTGCATCTCCAAATCAGTATCCCATCTTGAAGTCCCCACTTCATTAATTAATAGCCCCATGTGTTCTCATATTTACTACTTTGCCAATGGAATCATATTATATATGTTTAAAACTTTTTTTATTTTTTTAATTGAAAAATTAATTTCAATTTCATTCAAGAAGATTTAAGAAAAAGAAAAATGGAAATCGGAATTTCAAATATTGGTATGAAAACTTGTTTCACAACTGAATATTTTCGGATCCAAATCGACAAAAATCAGAAATTATATTCTTTGTTTCACATATATTATGAAGTATACAATAATATCGATGCTATAGCTTGTATTTCGAACTTTTTGCGATTTTTTTTTTTTGAGTTAGTTTTGAAAATTAAAATTGCACTGGAAATATGATATGAATATATACAGTAGAGTTTCGATAAATTAATAACATCGCTGAAATAATAATGAGTTCGATAATGTAAATATTTCGCTAAAGTAATAGAAATTTGCTAGTCTCGACTGTATTAATTTATAGAGGTTCAACTGTACACGTATTGTTTCATGATTCGTAATGAAAAATATTGTTTCGGAATCGAAAACCTTCAAAGTGAAGTCCGTGGAATTCGAAATAATTGTTCCAAATTCCGCCCCTAATCATGATTGATTTTATTTCAAAAATAAATTTCTTGAAACATCCTTAAAAAAATAAAGCTTTTTCCTATTTAATATAAGCTTTTATTTAATGTGATGCAAATTGCAATTTAAATTTGGTTCCAAGGGTAAAAACGTAAAATGAGAGAAGAATGAAGTACATGTGAGTGTGACTTGCATGCAATGATTCTTAGCTTTTTCATTCATCAGAAAGCCACTTTGGCTTCTTCTCCATTCCCACTTCACCTACCCTTTTGTGTGTGTGTGTGTGTTTTTGCTGATGCGCTCTCTCTCTCTCTCTCTCCTCTTTCTCTCTCTATAAACATCAAACCCCCCCACTCATTTCTTCCCCTTTTCTCTCTCTCTCTCCTCTTTCTCTCTCACACACACGCACACACTTGGGGTGATCGATCATTTCTTCTTCAGTGTTGAACATAAAAAAAAAATAAAAAATCAAACATCAGCAAATGGATAATAAGAAAGCGATTTTTAAGAACAGTTCAATCTTCGGCTGCGGCGGCGGCGGCGGCGATATGAAGAGAAGCCCTTCGGAATTGGCTCTTCAGGAGCTTTTTGCGTCGGAGGATGACCGGAAAATTCATCACAAGGCTGACATATTTGGCGGCTCTGATTCTTACAATCACAGTTTCTTCGCCGTGGAGAATGCCGATCACGCGCCTTTTCCTTTCAAAACCCAGGTCAGTTTCATTTTTCAAAAAATAAATAAATAATTAGGATCATATTTATATCTGTGTGTATAGTTAATTCGTCGTTGCCTGGATTTTATTTTTTTGTTAATTTGTCATAATTTTATTTTAATTCTCATTTTGAAGGATAAATTAGGGTTTAGCTTTGATGCATTTATGGGGGCTAATTAAAGTATGAGTTAGTGCTACTGATTAGGCTAAGCGTAGGAGGATATTGTTTGTAGTTTCTTTATGGAGCAAATTTAATTTAATTTAATTATTATTACTGCCCTTGCAGTAAATGAATTAATAATAAAAAATTAATGCAAAAAGTAGAAAATTGAGATTTCATATTCAAATTATCAATCATGCACTTGTTGTCAAAAAAAATACAAACATTTTTTTCCGATTTTTCTCTGGCTACTTTATTGAATTTATTTGATAAATTGTGCGGTCGGGTGGCCGACTCTGCAACTGTATGTGGATGGATGAATGTACATTTCGATATTCTGGATTTTCGAGAAAAAATGATATATGATAATGTACCACATCACTTTGAAAGTGAAGTGCATATTTTGTTCTTTTATGGTGAAAGAAAAATATATTAAAGTTATAAACTTAGCTTTATCAAAGTATATGCTTTACCAATGTTTGCTTATAGTTTGGCCATTGAAAAAGCAATTACTTTTACTCGTCGTGTCCACGCAAGCTACACATCAGAATGACGGAAAGTTGTATAAAATGCATCTATAAATATATATATATATATATATATATCTTGAATTTCCACATTTTTTTAAAAATAAAATAAAAACATGTTGAAAGATGATCATCGATCCCTTTTTCGTCTTTGTGGTGATTTCCAAACAATGAGTTATTTTTGTATTTGGATTTCTAGTCGGGCCTTTCTTTTTTATATTGAGTCTTGCAAGAATTATGAACCACTCTTTTTTAATATCATATCTCTTGTTAGGAGTTTGGTCATGCTAGTATAAAATAAAGTTAGCACACTAAAGAATCTAATTCTATATGTACTATTGGGATTTTTAAATTCACACACACAACACTCGTATATAATATTTGAATTTGTAATCTCTCACGTAATCCAGCGGGCCATACCACCAGACCAAAGGTGTGATTGTTATTGTATGCAATGTCGGTGTGCATCAAGAAAGATGACAAAAACTCGAGTCAAGCTTTTGTTTAAAATATGTAATCATTTGTATATCTCCAACATATTCATATTGCTTTTCTTAATTTTTAATTTATATATTCCTTATCTATAAGCCATATGCTCTAATAATTCGCCTTTTGTAGTACGAAAAGAAATTGCACTAGATTACTAAGTATTTGGATTTAGGAGCACCACTTTGCAAGTCAAAAACTGAGAAAATAAATAAGAACTTCACGAATAATTTCGGGATTTGAGGAATTGGTTTGGAAACCTGGGAAATTGGGCTCGATAACTCGTTTGCAGAGGTTGAAACATTGTAATTTTTAACTCTAAAAAAATTTATTTTTCTTGTTCGCCGAACTTTGCTTGCAGACGATGTTTTACCGGTTATTTTGACTGTTTAATGATAAATCTAATGATTTCATTAAGAACTTGCTTATGATGTAGCTTGCTCTGAATTTTTTTTCAGGAAATTCAAAAAGGATTGGCAGGTCCTAATTCAATGGCAGATAATATGTCTTGGTTTCGGAATCATTATCCTAACCAGTCCAACGTTTCAGTGCCGATTGAGTCCCAATCTTCAATCTGTGGTAAGTCAATGAAATGCATCTACCTCCCCCACCTTTAAAAAAAATCCTTTTATTGATTGTTGCATGCTCGATTCTTTATTACTCGAGAAATGAAATAGCTTCTCGTTTTCCAGTTGATAGCCCAACTTCAGGCTATACTTCAAAGGGCATAGGTAATCAAACAGTTGGAGCTAGCAGTGGTTCTTCGCACGAACAATCTGACGATGATGACTTAGAGATTGAAGCTGGTTCTTGTGAGCAAGGCACCAATCCTATGGATATCAGGAAAATCAAACGGTACATTTATATATAAATTTTCAAAAAGAAAAAGAAATAGAAAAAGAAAAAAGCTGACATAGATAGTGTGATTTTCAGGATGGTTTCTAATAGGGAATCGGCTCGTCGCTCGAGAAGAAGAAAGCAAGCTCATTTAGAAGAACTTGAACAACAGGTTTCCTCTTTGTAGTTGATAGTTGCGGTTTTATTGCATTCGGCACCCCTGTGTTTTCTCTAATTGCTAAAGAAATACTTCGATGTTATTTTATTAGCAAAAACATCCTTATGATTCATTGTTTTTAGGGGGTAATGTGCTAAAAAAATACATTATATGGGGTTTTCTTGCTAATATTAATAACACGGGAAGTTTTTTAGTTATTCGATATAACACATAGGTACGAAATGCCGTAAACTCCGATAGTTGCTAACAAATGAAATAGCATTAAATTGTTTGAATTCGTGTTTTTTTTACAGGTGGACCAATTACGAGGCGAGAATTCAACACTGTTCAAACAGCTGGCAGATGCCACTCAGCAATTCAAAGATTCCACGACAAATAATCGAGTTCTCAGATCTGATGTTGAAGCTCTAAGAGCAAAGGTGGTTACTACTACTATATAAGAAAGTTATGCAAAAAAAAAAAAAAAAAATAATTCTAAATATCGAACTTGTATTGCTGTTCTATTCAGGTGAAACTAGCAGAAGACATGGTTGCACGAGGCTCGTTGACCTCGAGCTTGAGCCATCTACTGCAAAATTACCTGAATACCCCTCAAGACTACATGATTAACAACATCAACCGCATCGACCGTAATGTATCTCCAACAATAGCAGCTCACGGGGAGGAGAATTCTCCGTATAACGGGATTTCGGAGTCAACCGTTGGACTCGGAAATGCTGACTCGGTTGGTCTTGTGCCTGAGATTTGGACTTGGGAATCTAATGTTGCTCCAGTATCTAAGTGAAATAGCTTTTTCTTGTTCTGGTGTCTAATTGGATATTATCTATCTGTGTGCTGTTTTTATTTTATTTTCAAGTTGTGTGTATTTTTATATCTTGGATTAGACTTTTGTACCTGCTGGAATATTTTGTGTTTTGCATAATTAATCTGTGTGTTGTGATTGGTTGCTCTAATTGAATAGGGTGCAATTCGAATTGCAAAATAGTTACACATATTAAGAGGATGTTTGGCTTAACTTATTTTAAACAACTGATAAGCTCGTAACAACTTTTAAAGTGTTTCGATAATGCAATTTATAAGTTATTTGTACTCATTATAAGATTTTAAATAAAAATGCGAGGAATAGGTACTTTTCTAAAAAGATATTTTCTAAATTTTTATAAACTATTTTTAACCGCTTATAAGCTCAGTTGAACACCCTCATAGTTAGTCTACTTGAACCACCAAATCTATATTAATTTGCCCATTTTACACAATTTTAGTTCAAGTTCATGAAAATTTGACACAAATACACCAAATTTTAGACGATAGATTCTCCAAGAAATCGATTAGCGAGACTGGCCCCATTAACTTTATTTCAAATTATAGTCTTGTATTCTTGTTTACATAAAAGTTAAATTTTATGTCAATACTCGTTTAAATCAATAATTCCTTTTAACATATTTACTTATTTTACTTTATGTTACACACGAGTTTAGATGTTACACCTGATTATAATAATCACTCACTAAACAATCATATACATGAACGAATATGTGTGCGTAATTAGGTGTAGATTTATGATTTAAATTCATCTTATGTAAATAACCACGTGTAGTATCTAATTACCTTACTCGTACCAAAACATCATAAAACTCCAAGAGTAATTTTTGAATGATTATTATCTTATTTATTTTAATGAAGAATTGAATATTATTTGTCTCCGTTACACTGATAAACAGTGAGTACAATTCCCATTCCCACGAATCTCACCTCCCGAATGTTTCCCTAATTTATCGGGAATTAAAACCAGATCCAAATTATAAAGCACAGAAACCATCGTCCCGGAACAAAGGAAAACCAGCACCGGCCCGAATATCCACAGCAGGATCGGCACCGCGCTGTAGAACAACCTGTTCCCCGCCGTGTTCAGCGCGAATCCCCTCTCCAGAAGCTCCGCCACGTACTCCGCCGTCACGCCGCCGCTTCCGATCGGGGTCTCCGTCGGCGGACAGTTGATTAGGAAGTTGACCTGGTTGATGAACCTAATGGAGAGGGAGTGGCAGACGAAGGAGAAGAGGAAGAGGACGAGGAGGGTGACGTACTTCAGCGCCACCATGAACTCGCCGTGGGCGCCGTAGACGGCGTCGTTCAGTGGCTTCTTGATGCTGTAGGTGCTGCTGATGACGGCGGCTAGGCCGGAGCAGAGGAGGATTGAAGTCGTCGCCATCAGCGTTGACCCCATGATCGTGTTCCGGAGCGTTTGGACGGCCAGGATGTTTTTCTTCTCATTATCCTGCATTCATTTTTTTTTTTAATTAATATCGAATTTGTTGTCTTGATTAAATAATTTATTTAATTTGTTATAATCAATTAATTCAAATTTTAACAAAAAATAAGTTCACTTGACCAAAATCCAACTAATATAGTTGGTTTTTAATTTGTTATAATCAATAATTAAAATTTAACAAAAAATAAATTAAAAGTTCATAAAAAAAAATAAACTAAAGGGCCCAACCGGGTTCGAACCGGTGACCTCTTGATCTGCAGTCAAATGCTCTACCACTGAGCTATGGACCCTTTTTGTTAAAAATTAGAGGAACATAAATTTTAATCACTCTATTCTACCTACACAATAGATACATTGTAGTTAAATTATAAAAAATTGTATTTATTTAATTACTCTCTCTTTATAAATTATAAATTATAAATTTGTGTCACTTTAGAATTTCAATAAAGCATTTATTACATTTTTCTCAAATTTGACCTTACTCATCTTAAGATAATCAATAATGAAACAACTAATGAGAGGGTTCTTTTAATCATTTTATTATGATTTCCCTGCACGTTTATTACTTCTTTTAATACGTGTGCATTAGTCCAAAGTGAATAATAAAACGTGGAATTAAAGAGGGGGTACTTAAGATGTACTAGTAATTTAGTTGCAAATTTTTGTCCCACAAGGGCTCTAATGTATCTCTCTCATACCTTAATTATTAGTTAGGCACTTGTACTAAAGGAAAAAAGCTTTAAAGTCTTTAGCGTGTACAACTTAAGATGCATTAGAGTGATAGGAATAATGAACATGATTGATCAATTGTGACACAACTTCTATCATATGTATATATTTTTTTAATTTCACATTTTCATTATACATACAATTATGTGACAAATATTTAAATTGAAATACTCTTGTGTACTTAATAGTAATTATAACTTGTTCATTAATGTTGGTATATGATGCACGGAAACTTCAACTCACAGGCGGTTTCAAGCTTCAAACACATTTAGGGGCTGTTTTATAAATATTTAAAAGTTTCGGGGATGTTTCTGATAATAATAAAAAATTGGAATTGCGTTTCAACACAAAATAAATCCAAATTTCATTTTAAGTAACAACTCTGAATTGCGTACGCTTAAAGAAAATCTTAAATATTATGTCTCATTTTTAATATTTTTAATTTGCAGATGTTAATTTCATACTAAAATAAATTTATATGCCCCGAATATAATTTATGGAAGGATATTAAATATTATAATATTTAAATAAATCATGAATGCACCTTTATATTTTTATTATTTACGCGTTTCGCCACGTTCCAGTATTCAATTTTTTGAAAAACAGAGTTTCTCGTAAATTGAAACGAAGAAGAAAATCAATACATTCAGAAAAGAAGAATTGAAATAACATAATAAATAGAGATAGAGAGAGAGAGGGAGAGAGAGAGAGAGGGGTATTATATATACCTTGATGATGGCGGAGACCCAAAAGCGGCGGCCATGGGAATTAGTACCAATGACAGTGGTGAAGGGCTGAGTTCTAACCCTATTCCATAGCCAAATGTGGTATCCCATGCTCATCATCAATCCCAACGGCACCAGTATCACATCTAGATAACATTTTCTCCATTCCCCCATCTCTCTCTCTCTCTCTCTCTCTCTCTCTCTCTCTCTCTCTCTCTCTCTCTCTCTCTCTCTCTCTCTCTCTCTCTCTCTCTCTCTCTCTCTCTCTCTCTCTCTCTCTCTCTCTCTCTCTCTCTCTCTCTCTCTCTCCCTCTCTCTCTCTCTCTCTCTCTCTCTCTCTCTCTCTCTCTCTCTCTCTACACACAGACACACACAAACTATTGTATGTGTGTTTCTGCGTGTTCTTGACTAGGTGCGTGTTTGTTCTACTCTCTCTCTCTCTCTCTAGATCTCTCTCTCAGTTTCTTGTTAGCTATAGCTTTTGTTGAGCCATATATATATACAATTGTGCGTGCGTGTACGTATGTATGTGTGTGTGTGTGTGTGCGTGTTTGGCAAGAAAGATGATGAAGATGGACTTATTTGGATGCAATATACATAAGTTGTTGCAGCAAATTAAATTAGCCAAAACCAAAAGGAAACCTCCACTAGTTCATATTTATTATAAAATAATAATAATTAATCATATTTATTCCAAGATAATATATCTTATTAATTATTGGACTTCTATATATATATATACACACACATGATAATTAACTAATTATATAAGTACTGAATTAATTATGCAATCAAGCATTATCTATAATTAATTTTGACTTAACTATAAGTTTATTTGATGTATGGGGGTGCAGTGGGAAAAGGGTGATTTGACAATCTTGAAATCTTGGTAGTGCATATTTAGTGTGCATGAGGAATTGTCAGCTAGTGATTTTCTGACTGGCCACAATACTCTGCCTAATTAATATTCAAGACTTGCATTCGAAGGTTTATACTATGTTACATCGGATAAAATTTAACGGGTGGATCTTTACAACTTATATACACACAAACACAAACACATACCCGCATTGGTGTGTGTAAATCGACAGTAAAAAATCATCCAGTGTAACTTTCACTGGATGTAGACTGTAGTATAGAAATACCCTGCAGCCGTAACTAACACATGCAACTTTTCATTACTTGAGATATATGTAAAAGTATATTCAATGTGGATAACAAAATTAAACCTAAAGATTCACACACACACGTGCATACAATTTTATTGTTGTTTCGGTTTGCAATATGAGGTATTTTGAGAATCTGAAATTAGGGGTGTGCACGGGTCGGTACAGCTCGGGTTTTCCAATAAATCAAACGCGGACCGATAATATCGGTTTCTCATATTTTAAAAACCGAATATGTCGGTTTTTTTCGGTTCGGTGTGAATCGGTTTTTCGGTTTTCGGTTAACGGTTTCAGTATCAATTCGGTTTATTTTCGGTTTCGATTTCGTCTATTTGTTCGACCCGGTTCGGCATAAAACCCATATATTTGGACTTTCATTATATTTATTTGAGAAAATTAACAAATAACAACCGAAAATTAACTAATAAAAAACACGTCACAACCAAAATTAATTAATAGAAAACGATGTCACATGGAGGCGCTCGAAAGATAGAGGCACGCTAGGGTAAGTACTTATAATATATATAAAAAATACATCATTTTGTATAAATCGGTTCGGTTCGGGAAATCGGTTCGGTAATTTTTAAATTCTCCATACACAAACCGATATTTACGGTTTTTCAAAAAAAAATTACCGTGTATGCGGTTTTAAGTCGGGACGGTACATATCGGCTCGGTTTTTCGGTTTTTTTGCTCACCCCTATCTGAAATGCTAAATTTACGGAACACACACAACTAAAAAAACTTTATCTCTCTAAAATTTGCCAACACGAAAAATATGCGTTATGTGTGAGTTTATGACCTAATTTTTGGCCCCAAACTTTAGAGTTTCCACCACAAAAATAATATGATAATATAGATAAGTGCCATATGCGTGTGTTTAACTTGTTTTCTTAGTTTCCATTAGACATATAATAAAAACTTTATCGACAACTAATATAGAGTTCGAAACAAGATAAAATTACGCAATCTTACGAGAACGCAGTCGTATAATTGAACTAGCTAGAGGAAGTCTAACACACAATCCCTTCTATAGTCGTTTTATTTTTGACAAATGCCTATTTTGTTATATGTCCTTTTAAGTTTTAGCCATTGTTTGAATTATAATTTTTGTAATATATTAATTTAATCATTTATTTATTCAAGGGTATCAAATGAAACCTAATGATTTAGTTAATCATTGTTTATTTTACCATCAAATGATAACTTAGAATTTAAATCATTGTGGCCCCTCCTCTTTGTGAGTTATATTTAGGATTTTCTCTTTTTGGACAAGTCTTTGTCTCTTCACTTTAATATGATTTTGTGTTCATATACAATTTGATTTGTCTTATTGTAACTTTTTTTTTTAAATAGTGCACAATAATATTTTGTTGATTTTCGAGTTATTAGAAGAACATATTTCGCCAATAAATAAATAAACTTGTATTTTAGATTACATGAATACATCATAGCGTGTGGTCCTCTATAGACTATGCAGCACGGACACAAAAAAGCTGACACAACCGATTACGGGAAAACGGACACGGGAAAATTCCATTTTTGGTGAATATATAGTTTTAGGACTAAAAATTGTTTGAGTTAATAATGTTTATATCATGGAATATTTGTTAAGAGGTGGCAACTGGCAACCCACTAATCTCCCTTTCTTTAATTTCCCCAAAAAGATATACTTTTTAGTGCAATTCACAACCACACAATTTGTGATCGAAATAATTAATTACAATTAATTAGTGATATGAGATAAATGTGGAATACACAATACCTAATTTTGGTATGTAAAAGTGACTCCTCTTTCCACCTCAATTTTCAATTTTGTAAATTTTCATTTTCATTCTCAAATAAATTATATATATCTTATTACGATAATATCTTATTAATCACATCACATGCTTTATTTGGCCCCATTTTGAAATTCTTCCAATTGTTTTCCGAAAGTAAAATTTTGTTTGTTAAGCTTTTCAATTTGGACTTAAAACTTTTTTTGGGAAAACGAAGTTAAACTGTTAAAGTTTATGTCTCCTTAATTCGCATATGATTAGATTGATACAATTACAAACGTCGTCGTTAGAACATAAACAAACAAACATCACTTTATTTTTTCAATATTTTTTTTTCAAAATACATTCCGTCCAAGATCTTTAAACATAATTTGGTTGTTACAGTGTAAATCATCTTTTCTCAAACAAACGGACATAACCTTATTTTTCATTTTTTTTCCTACCAAAATATTGATTTCGAAAAATACATAATTGAGAAAAAAAAAATACCAATTCCGGTGTCAAACTATTGGAATTGTGGATCTCACAAAAGCCCAACGAAACTTTTTCGATTGGGCCTATAGTCATTGGCATTTGGCAATATGATAAAAGTTAGGTGAATACGATAACAGTCGTTTTTGTAGAAGCTACATTTGATGAAATATATCATATACTTTTACGCTATTAATTAATATATATGTATGTGTGCTTACTGAGTAATTCTTTATGTAGATATACAGTATCAAACCCCCATAATTTATTTCATGCACCAGATATAGGATCTCATAAAGCCATAAAATTCATCAGTTTTTTTTTCTTCTTAAGAGAAAAATATCCTTACAATTCGGATGTATAAGCCTATGCACCTCGGAATCATCGATGATTTTCTTTGCCCCGAAAAATCAAGAAATCAAACAAGCACGAAACGAACAAATAATTATATTAACATTTAAATAGAGAAAATCAAATCAATATTAAAGTATATGGCTCAAATAAAATTTAACTCCTCTCCATCATTGTCATCTGGAAATGTAACACATTTGTAAACTTTGCACTTTGAACATAACACGCTTCCAGTCTGCCAAAACAAAACACGCTTTTTACTCTTATGAGAAATAATATTCTAAATGCACACTAATTATACAATTTCAACCATTTTTACCCATAAATCCAAAACCACCCTTCACAAGTATCAAGAAAGGTATTAAATAATTGGGTAAATTATAACTCCCCTACTAAAGATAAGGTATGTTTACGAAAAAATCCCTCTTTTTTTTTTATATTTACATTCATCCTCCGGCAATTTTCAAATTTCTTACATTAATACCCTTATACAGGAGGTTGGATGTAAGGAACTTACAATCTTCAGGGGGTGAATGTAATTCTTCAAATAATGAGGTTTTTTTTTTCATAAATAGACTTTACCTTAAAGGATGGTATTGTATTTACCCTAAATAATTCTTTCTTTCACATAAATTCTCATAAATAATGAAGGGTAAATTAAACTCTAAAAATGAGAGATAGCACGAGAAACATAAATGAACAGGGCAATATTATCGTTGATCTACACACATCAATGTGTGTGTGTGTGTATATAAATTGTAAAAATCTGACCAGTGTATTTTATATGGTGTAGGATAGTATAAAGATTAATATGACAACAATGTGAGGGGCATGAAATTCAAACAACACTATATTTAATTATTTAAAATAAGGGGTGATTAATTAATTAAGAAGTACTTACAGCTCTACAAGAAGGGCAACGGCGGTAAATTCTGTTGTTGTCTGCTCTAACATTAGTCTTTTCCCCTTTACAAAAATCACAAACCAACCAACCTCTCCCACTGCAACCCTCACAAACAATCTCACAATCCACCTTTTCAACAAATAAACAAATAAATAATGTATTAATAATAATAACAATAATAAATAATAATATTATCCAAACCTGCTGTTGAAGTGAGGTGCAACTCAAAGGTGTGACATAATTAATCCTAGGTGGTGGATTAAATTGAAATGTCTGATTATTACAAGAAAAAATAGGTACTGTGTTGTTCATAGGAAGTGCCATTTAATTTAGCTGCCTTTTATTTTTTTCAGCAGAGAAGAAGACTTTCTTCTTCATACAAAGAGTTATGTTATATCCATTCATCACCACTCCTTTTTAATCCGCGGTCCTAAATTTATTTATTTTTTTTATTTATTTGTGATTGTAAACCACAAATTTTTCGAGTCTGCAAAACATAAATACAAGACAAGAAAATAGGGAACAAATAATTTATTAATCAAAACGATGTGGATTACAATCTCCGTAATTCCCCTGATTCTTCTCTCCTATTCTAATTTTGATTCAAGGGCTTAAAAGCTTGTTCTTGAATCGAACATATGATTTCCTATCACGAACACCTCGAATTCAAATATGTTATGAATTCGAGGCGGAGGCTCGAGACGTGAGCATGAGAGCTCGATAAGTGTCTGTGTGAGTCTGGTTTTTTTGATGCACCAAAGATCTTCTTTTATAGGCACAAGCTAGGGTTAGGGTTTCTCGACTTGCATAGTGGGCCAGACATTTTAAAGCCCAAATATATTATGGACTTTAATTTGAGACCTAAATTAATAACCTATTTATTTTGGTTATTAATTAGTAATTTATCTCAAAATTTCGATGTCTACAAATGCCCCCACTTCTAGTCTCGACGAAGAACATGTCAAATGAGAGACGAGACTTGAAGTACTCGAATCTATTTTCCACTCTTTTTTTTTTTTTTTTCTTGAACCCCATTCTTCCATTTTGGGTTTAATTACTAACTTGTTTCAACTTCAGGGACTTAATTGAAAAGTCGTCAAGGACCGAATTTCAATTTGAGTTTTATCCCACAATTTGGGGGATCGTCCGTATCTCCTTCACCGGCTTCACCCATCCCTTAAACATTCAGACTCTCGCCGCCATCAGCCAAGACTTTTGCCGTTCATTCCTCTAACTCTCATCTACCCGCATCTCATGACTGTCGATCCGAAGCATCCATTTTGTGGCTCTTCAGCTAGTTCAGCGGCGTGCTTGAGGTGGCGATTTAACTCAGAGTGGTTTGGAGCGGCGGGATTAGGTGACAACCCCGGCAGCTGATTTAGGCGGCAAAGCGAGGAGGGCCAGCGCTTCGTGGACGTGAATTTAAGGTGATGGATTTAAGAGGCCAGCGGTTTGCGGCGGTGGGAACATGAGATAACATCGTCGACTGATTTGGGTGGGATGGCGTTTCCGGTCGGCGGCACTGTTGTGGTGGCGGATCTGAGCGGCCAACGATTTGCGGCGGCCGGAACATGAGATTACACCGTCGACTACTTTGCGTGGCGATGGCGTTTCCGGTCGGCCTCTTTGATTCGATGTCAGTGGAAAGAAATGTTGACAGCAACCGCGGTACCATTGCTGTGTTGTCTCTCCCAATTTCGCTTGTTTCTTTGGTTCCGATTGGAAAAGATTGGATCTGCCACCTTTCTTTAGTTGCCATAAAATTGGATTGTTTTTTTTGGCATTCTTTCCATCCATGGCCTGCCAAAAAATTTTTGCAAGTCTCTTCCAATTGTAACGAATATCAGTGCTTGCAGCAAATCTTTAATTTTTTTTTTTTTTTTTTTTCGGTCAATGGGCAATTGGCAACAATTTGAAATGATATTGGATTTAACGAATCTGAATGATTTTGACCAATTATTGTCGCTGAACTTGCCCCCAAGTCTAGGATTTGACCATCGGTAAGATCAACAACTCTACAAGGAAGACCTGGTTCTTCTTGAGAGCTCGACTTCGACATAGGAGGAAGAGATGAGGGGCGAAGATTGTCCCACCGGGCGTGCCAATTTGTAAACCACAAATTTTTCGAGTCTGCAAAACATAAATACAAGACAAGAAAATAGGGAACAAATAATTTATTAATCAAAACGATGTGGATTACAATCTCCGTAATTCCCCTGATTCTTCTCTCCTATTCTAATTTTGATTCAAGGGCTTAAAAGCTTGTTCTTGAATCGAACATATGATTTCCTATCACGAACACCTCGAATTCAAATATGTTATGAATTCGAGGCGGAGGCTCGAGACGTGAGCTTGAGAGCTCGATAAGTGTCTGTGTGAGTCTGGTTTTTTTGATGCACCAAAGATCTTCTTTTATAGGCACAAGCTAGGGTTAGGGTTTCTCGACTTGCATAGTGGGCCAGACATTTTAAAGCCCAAATATATTATGGACTTTAATTTGAGACCTAAATTAATAACCGATTTATTTTGGTTATTAATTAGTAATTTATCTCAAAATTTCGATGTCTACAGTGATATTACAATATTGCCCTAAATAACCATGCAAGTGTATCATAGGAATAATACATTTTTATTTATTTATTTATTTATTTATGATATTTTTTCTTTCGTTTTCATTGAACTTACAAGAAGAGTTGCATGCTACGATACACTTGGTTATTTACACTGTGTGAATTTTAACCGTAAATTTGATTAAATAACCACATCTTCACACACACACACACGATATTTTTATGCTACACCCGATGAAGATTACACCGAGTAGATTTTAAATTTACACACACTAATGTGGGTGTGTGTTTATAAATAATAAAGATCTACTCGATGTGTTACATACATATACGAGTGTGTGTAATTATATATAGATCTACGATTAAAATTCACCCAATATAAATAACAATACGTAACATATCTAATTAACCTGCTACAACCCTACAATACATCATTTCTCAGTTGTACAAGAAAAAAAAAAAACTTTCATTAAAACAACAATACAATATAACCTTTTTCTTTTGAAGTGTCCAAAAAATTCATAAAACAAAATATACAATCCTTCTCAAATAATAATAAAAATAAATAAATCATGCTTTATTATACAATGGAAACTCATCGTCACCATAGGAAGATGAAAATTCATCATCATCGTCGTCGTCGTCGTCGAAATCAGCCATGTGATTCAATTCCTCGATCTTCTCGAACGCCGACGCAAAATCCCACCGCTTGTCGACATTCCACTCACAGCAGCACATACCGATCCTCAGAAGCCTCACCATCTCACCTTCGCCATTCCTCGACAGCCTCATCTCCTTATCGAACACCTCGCCGCTCAACTCCTCCCCCACCACCGAGTTGACCCAGTTCGCCAGGTCGGCGCTCGGCCCCCTCCCCCGCTTCAGGTAGTTCGCCGGGAACCTGCCGGTGATCAGCTCGAGTATCAGTATCCCGAGACTCCAGACGTCGGTCTTCCGAGAAACGCGGTCGTTCTGAGCCGACTCGGGCGATTTGTGAGCCACCATGAACTGGTGAGCGTGGTCCTTGCTGATTAAGGGGGATAGCGCGTAGTCGGAGAGGAGTGGGGTGTACGCGCCGTCGAGGAGGACGTTGGAGGATTTGAGGTGGCCGTGTGGGAGGGGTAAATTGGGGAATTCCTTGTAGAGATGGGCTAATCCTCTTGCTACTCCTTTGATTATTTTTAGTCTTGTGGGCCAACCCAGTGGTGGTTGGTTTGGGCTTCTTTTGCCTGTTTAATAAATAATTATTTAAAATTACGTTAAATTACGAAAAAAACCCGTGAACTTAGGCTAAATAATGAAAAACACTCCCACAATAATTCCCCTCTGATTAACTGTTGGTCGAGTTTTTTTAACATAAAATATGTACAATCTATTATACCTTCTGTTAAATAGGTGAGAAATAAAAGAAAATATCTAAAATTGTGTAAAGTCTATTCCCTGTAATTAAAAAAAAATCTGTGAAAAAATCACATTGTAAGTGGTTGGTATAAAACGGAAACAAACCTCAGAGATTTTTGGTAATTACGAATAGGTGGAGATATTTTTCGTTATTTAGCATATGTTCAGGGGGTTTTCGTAGTTTACCCTAAAAGTTAATATTCTAAATCAGATAACACATGAGTACTAAATGCAATAAACTCGTCTTATTTGGTATTTGGTTAATCCAAACAAATTTGTGGTCGATACGAAAAAAGCCCAGAACTTTTTGCTCTTATCAACTTAATTGGCTTATTAAGAAATTGTGCATCGAAGTACCCTATCTAATTCAACCATACAATTGTGCCCTAATAAGTTCGTTTTTATCTTATCTCGACTAATTGCACGTGGCATCCAAACGAGGCCTTAATGAACCAAATTGTATGGTTGAACCACAAAAAGTCGGGGTATACTACACAACTACCCAATCAATACTAAGGCTTTTATATATAAGATCATAATAAGGCCGGGCCCAATATTTATCGAGCTACTTATTTCGGGCCTAAATAAACACTAAATCGGACCTAATTGTACAATTAATTAATCATTAAATTAAACAAGGAAAAAAAAATGTAACATACCATGTAGATGACTAGCCAAGCTGCCATTTTCGACGAAATCAGTGATCAAAAGCTTCTCTTCTTTCGTGTAATAAAAAGCGACAATCGGAAGCAAATTAACGTGCTTTATCCTCCCGAGCTTTGTCAAGTGCTCATAGAATTGTTCTTTGCCGGCATTGTTCATTTCTCGGAATCTTCTTACAACGTACGGAAATCCACTCGGAAGCAAAGCCTTGTAAGAAGAACCGAAGCTTCCGCTTCCCAATACTTCGGCCGATGCCCTCAAAAGCTCCTCCAGCTCGAATCTCTCTCTGTCGTTTCTCACAAAGTAGAGTTTCCCGTTTTCGATGTTGATGTTCTTGTAATTACTATTATTATTATTAGTTGTTGTTGTTATAAGTTTCTTGTTGTTTTTGTTTTTGCTTTTGTTGTTGTAATAAGTTGGAGATTCGATTTGGAGATTGTCGAATGATTTTTGGTACTTTAGAGGCCTTGATCGTTTACGGCATAGGAAGATTAGTATTGTGAAGGCTGCGAGTGAAAAAACGACGATGGAAGCGATGACGAATGCGATCTTCTTGATCGATTTGTTCGGCTTGCATGGATTTAATGGCTTGCCACATAGGTTCTTGTTTCCTGATCATAAGATAATCAAAAGAAGAAATTATTTGCAAGAACTTTTTGTAATTATTATAATTAAAAGGGTAAATTACAGTCACACCCTGAGATAAGCTCAAATTACGAAAAAAAATCCCTCTATTGTTTGGATAATTACAATACTATCCTTCAACTACGTATTGTTTTATGAAAAAACTCATCTTTCATTAGGTAAATTTTACATTGTAAGATAAGGCGTATAAGACAAACATGAGGGGATTTTACGTAATTTGGACATACTTTAGGTGGCTGTAATTTGCCTTCAATTTAAAACATCAAAATGCATAATTAAACAAGAGAAATAATATTTAATGTACTTATTTTTTTAATTAAGTGTTTGACTGTGGATTAGCTGATACAGCAAAACCTTTGAGCAACGTGCAGACAAGTTAGCTATCAGATTAATTAATCAACAATTATCAGACAACAATATCTAATTATTTTACATATATCATGGTTTAATTTGTAATACTAAATATTTTTCTAAGACATTAATTTTTTTTTAATTTCACATAATAATAATAATATGAAGATGATCAAATATGTTCTAATAGTTCCATGTAATTTATCAAGAACATCTAGCATACGAAGAAAAAAAAATCCTTAAACCGAAACCGAAACCGAAAAAAACAAACAAAATTAATCACAAAAAAAAAACTTACCAAGAAATGAACTAACATTCTGATTAACAAGTGTAGGAGGTACGACACCCTCGAGCAAATTATTCGAAAAGTCGACACTCAAATCCGCCTGCCAAAAATCGGGTATCCTCCCTCCAAACCGATTATTCTGAATTTGCAAATCCACAAGCTTCGGCAAACCAAGCAACGACAAAGGAATATTCCCCGTAAAACGATTATACCCGATCACCACTCTCCTCATACCTTTCATCCCCTTAAAAGCATCGTCCGAAATCGCGCCGCTAAAACTATTATTAGCCAAGAACAAACCCCTTAGCTTCACAAGCTTGTTCACGCCACTCGGAAACGGCCCCGAAAAGTTGTTGTTCATCGCACTTAGCCGCAGCAAAGGCAATTCGGAGAGAGAGTCGACGTCGATTATCCCGCTTAATCCCATGTCGTCGAGCTTTAATCCCATGAAAGAGCCGTTTGTGCATAAGATTCCGTTCCACGAGCAGAGCTTGTCGACTGGCTCGATCCAGTTATCCAGCGTGGTGGGATTGGTTAGTGATTGTTTGAACTTGAGTAGGGATTTGGCGTACGCTGTGTCGTCGGATAATGCTGACGTGGACAAAACGGAGAGTGCGAGTAGCCCGAGAAACCAAGTACATGGATTTGAAACCATGATTATCATGATCTTTTTTGTTGTGTGTATGGAAGAAGATGGCTCTTTTTTTTTTGTTTTTTCTTTATTGCATGATTAGGAAGAATGAGGAAGGATTAATTAGCAGAAATCAAGAATGTATTTTTTTTTAGAGAGAGAAAAATTAAGAATGTAATGAGGAGAGCATGATATGGTTTTAAGATTGCAAGAAAGATATTGGAGGAGTGGGATTGAATGATTAGCTGTTCTTTTGCCGGCTTAATTTATTTTATTTGGTTATTATTTTGATTCAATTTCTAGGTGGGGTGGGGGTGACATTTTAGATTTTCTGGACTCTGAATATATATGGAATTTTGACATATAAATTTTAGGGTAAATTGCACTTTCCCCCTTGTACTTTGGCTCGTTATCACTTTATCCCCTTCTACTCTTGATTGCATCGATTTGCCCCTTGCGCTTGTAAACTTATATCGATGTGGTCCTTGCTGTTAGTTTTCAGATTTTGAACCTTAACGCCGTTTGGTCTAAGATCTGAAAATTACTGTTGGAAAAGTTGGGCCCAAATGGTCCATATATTGAGACTGGCCCAACACTTCAATTCATTTCGTGGCCCATTCCCCGGAGGCAGCCCAAACACCAAGCTGGCCCAGCAGCTTAAGTTGTAAGTTAATCTGGACCGTCAATTTTGAGAGGTAATCTCAGCCCTCCATATGACACATAAATACTCCATCTCTCTTCCATTTCTCCTCCATATCAAACCCTAAAACGGCTGCACTTCTCCCTCTCTCTCTCTCTCGATTTTTTCTGCAACAACTCACCGCCTTTGCCGCCGAATATGGCGTTGCTAGAGTCGGATGCGAAGAAGTCGCTAATGTTGTTGCTATTCGGGTTTATTTATACCCCTCCTTGAGAGATGAGGGAGATACGAGGATAGCTAAGTGATACAGCCCCTTTTCTTGTTCAATTTTCCCATTTTTCTTCGTGATTTGAGTGGGTTAAAGGATCTGTGTGATCTGTGAGAGTTCTTTGTGAGTTCAGTGTGTTTCTGTGTGAGAACAAAGAAAACGGGGGCTTTCGTGGGTTTTAGATCTTGGATATCTCCAAGATCTGTTCTGGGTTTGGGTTGAGAAAAGAGTGAGGAGAGAGTGAGTATCTTTGCTGCGTGTTTGGGCTTGTTACCGGAATCGTTGGCTGCCTCATCCGGGATCGGTGTGTAGCTCGTGGGAACTGTGAACTGAGCCGTGGATTCTCCTCAGATCTGATAGATAGATCTTCTGGGTTAGCATAAATAATAAATATATTGTGTAATCTTTATTATTTCTGCTTTATTCTTAGAATTGCTTGTACTCCCTAACCCCTTATTCCCATAGGATTTAATCTGTAATTTATTACAGTTTATGTTTATTATTTGGTCTGTAATAATTATTGAGTTCAACGGGTACCCAACAGTGGTATCAGAGCATTAAATTGTTGTACCCGTTGAACTGGCGTACAAAACCCTACCATGGGTTTTGCTCAGGTATTGTATTCTGAACCCCCTATGGTTGGTTTTAATTTTCCTGTTTATTTTTGGGTTGCGTTTCTGGATCTGTGTGTCCAGTTTTATTAATTGCTGGATCTGTGTGTCCATTAATTGTTGGATCTGTGTGTCCATTAAGTGTTGGATCTGTGTGTCCATTTTTGTTAATTTAGCTGAATCTGTGATTCAATCTGTGTGTGCTAAATTCTCGTTTATTTATTCCGCTGCGTACTTGAATTGTCTTAACGATACCAAATCTAGATTTATATTTCGATTTAGTTTAACCTCTCTCTCTACACAAAAACCCAGCTTGCGGGAACCGCTAGTGCTTCCTGATCTGGTTGGGGTAGTTGAGGGAGGACTGCTAGGTTTTCGTTACTTGCTTTACGTTAATTTTGGTATCGTTTATTTGCGCAATCGTAATTTTTTATCCTGCTGTGTGTTCTGGATAATGGCCTCTATGACTGCTTATTCTGTGGCTCCTTTTGATGGAAAAGGTGATTTTTCAATCTGGCAACAAAAAATGAAAAGTATTTTAATTCAACAAAAATGCTTTAAAGCTATTTCTTTAGAAGATGTTTTTATGGCTAATGCCAGACGTGAAGAATTTGATGAACTTGCTTATGCCTCTATTATTCTGAATTTGAGTGATTCTGTGATTAGAAAGGTAGGAAAGCATGAATCTGCTAGAGAACTATGGGATAAGTTGGAGGAACTTTATACTGAAACTTCCTTGCCCTCAAAATTGTTTTTGCTCGAAAAATTTTTCAGATTTAAACTTGACTTGAACAAAGAGATTGATGTCAACATCGATCAATTTACAAAACTTGTTCAAGATATTAAACTGACTGGAGATAAAAATATCGATGATTATACTCCAATTGTTCTTTTAAATGCCATACCTGAGTCTTACAATGATTTAAAATCTGCCATTAAATATGGTAGGGACTCTGTGACTCTTGATGTAGTTATAAATGCTTTGAAAAGTAAGGAGTTGGATTTAAAAGAGCAATAAATCTTTTGGTGAGGTGAACTTTGTGAAAGGGAAGCAACAAAATCGTTTTCAAAACAAAAACCCGGCTTTCAATCAAAATGCTCAAAGTTCTTCAAATTTTCAAAACAAGAAAAAGGGCAAGTGGAATGGAAAGTATAATGTGAAACCAAATACTCCTAGGAAGTGTTATAATTGTGGTGATCCAAACCATTTTTCTAATGTGTGCCCTAAACCTAGGAGAGATCAGAAAATTGCTAATGTGAATCAAGTTTCTGATAATATGGGTGATGTTTTTATGCTTAGTGGTATGCATGCTTCTGTGAATTCTGTGTTAGCCTCTCTTAGTGAGAATGAATGGCTTCTTGATTCTGCATGTTCATATCATATGACTCCACGTAGGGAAGTTTTTTCTGACTATGTGCAAATGAAAAACTGTGGTGTTACTTTAGCTGATGGCACTAGAATAGTTGTGAATGGTATTGGAACTGTATGCTTAAAATTTGTTTCGGGCTATGTGTTAACCTTGAAAAACGTGAGGCATGTTCCTACTTTAAGTCATAATTTGATTTCGTGTGCTGTACTTGAAGATGATGGTTTCCGTGGGGATTGGGGAGATGGTTGCATGAATATTATGAAGGGTAGCTGTTATTTGTTTAAGGCTTTGAGAATGGGAAATATGTATGTTTGTTCTGCTGAATCTTCTGCATCTGTGAATGTTGTCCAAAATGATTTATCTGAATTATGGCATAGACGGCTAGGTCACATGAGTAATAAAGGGCTTAGTATATTGCATAAAAATCATTATTTTGGAAATGATAAAGTATCTTCTGTGAATATTTGTGATTCATGCATTTTAGGTAAACAAACGCATATTCCATTTCCTGAAAATCCCTCTCCCAATCCATCTAGATGTAAGGAAATCCTAGAATATATTCATGCTGATGTGTGGGGTCCCGCCAGTGTTCCTACACATGGTGGGAACCGTTATTTTCTGTCCATTGTTGATGATTATTCTCGTAAAGTGTTTGTTTTCCTGTTAAAGCAAAAATCGGATGTCTTTGATAAATTTAAAACGTGGAAAATGCTGATTGAAAATCAAACAGGTAAACGGATAAAAACACTTAGGACAGATAACGGTACTGAGTTTTGCAACCTAGAATTCGATAATCTGTGTGCTGAATCTGGAATTAGAAGGCATAAATCTGTTGTGCACACCCCACAACAAAATGGTGTGGCCGAACGAATGAACAGAACCCTTCTCGAAAGAGTAAGGGCTATGTTAACTAGTTCTGGACTGCCAAAGTTGTTTTGGGGTGAAGCAATTTTGACTGCTACTTATTTGATTAATCGTTCTCCATCTGTGCCATTAAATGGCGACTTACCTGAATCTGTGTGGTGTGGTAAGAAAGTAGATTTGTCAAACTTGCATGTTTTTGGTTGCACTGCTTTTGTTCACCATAAAGGTGATAAACTTGAACCCCGTTCCGTGAAATGTGTTTTCTTAGGTTACCCCGATGGGGTTAAGGGGTATAGACTTTGGTTGAAAGGGGAATTTGGTTATAAAACCATAATTAGTAGGGATGTTATTTTTAATGAATCTGAATTTCCTTGTCTTGCTGTCCCTAATGTGGTTATTCCTCAATCTACTCCAAATAAGGTGGAGCAATTGCCTATTAAATCTAATGATGTGAGTGATTCTGAATTATCTGAAAATCTACAAGATCAAACTGTTGAAACTGATTTGCCTAACGTGGATGATTTGTCTGATTATCAACTTGCTAGGGATAGACCTAGACGTGAGCATGTTAGGAAACCTAAACACTTTGATGATTTTCACCTTGCCTCACATGTTTTTAATGTGTTTGAATCACTTGATGGAAATGAGCCTAAGTCGTATAAAGATGCTTTAAAATCTGATAAATCTACCGAATGGTTAAATGCTATGAATGATGAAATGAACTCGTTGCATGTTAACCATACTTGGGAACTTGTGCCTAAACCTGCTAATTGTTCTGTGGTAGATTGCAAATGGCTGTTTAAGGTCAAAAATGAAGTAGATTCTATTAGGTATAAAGCTAGGCTTGTGGCCAAGGGCTTTACTCAAAAAGAGGGTGTTGACTACACCGAAATTTTTGCCCCTGTTGTTAAATTCACTACTGTGCGTATTATGCTTGCTTTAGTTGCTCATTTTAATTGGGAATTGAAGCAAATGGATGTTAAAACTGCGTTTTTACATGGTGAATTAGATGAAACGATCTATATGAAACAGCCCGAGGGCTTTATAGATCCTAATAAAGGTGAACATGTGTGTTTGCTTAAAAAGTCTTTGTATGGCTTGAAACAATCTCCTAGGCAATGGAATAAGAAATTTGACTCTTGCATGCTTTCTTTGAAATTTAAACGAAGCGACTTCGATCCTTGCCTTTATTTTATGGAGAATACTCGTATTCCTATGTTTCTATTAATTTATGTTGATGATATGCTCCTAATTAGTCCTTGCTTGAAATC